TTCTTCCAAGACAGACTTGTTTATTCTTTTGGCAGTCCATGGGATATTCAGTATTCTTCTCCAACACCACAGTTCGAAGGAATCACTTGTTCTTCTGATATCCTTAGTCATTGTCCAGCTTTCAGATGCATAGGAAGCGATTGGAAAGACGGTGACTTTGGGTCAGGTGCACCTTTAAATGGATTTTTTTTAAGGGAATGCCATAGTTCAGCCTGTAACAGGTTGTGATGTAATAACAAACATGGCTTGTTCATGAACATAAGGAAGTCCAGTGGGGCCAGCATGAGGGGGCTCGGGAAGCTTGGTGTTTGATGGTGTGAGGTCAGAACATAAGAACCTTGGTCTTGGTCTGACTTAAGCCATTATTTAAGTGCTCTAAAATTTGATGGTACACAACCACCTCCCCCCTCCCCACGGGTTAGGGCCCTAGTCTGGGTGGGTTGTCATAAATGGCAGGACCCCCAGCCTCCCTGGATTACCCTTCTCGGTAGGGTAGGGGAGAACAGATGTACAGAGGACGTCCAGCTGCGTTGATTGAACCTGGAGCCAGAAGACCGGGCCTTTAAATCATCCTGGGACCCGAGGAGGTTTTCTCGGCATCTAAAATGTGTGCCATAAACTAGGCTGACTTATAGTCAGACCTCACCGGCCCATTGTTTATGGCCGGCATCCTTTCTGATTGGCTGATGTGTGTACTATGGCCATTGCTAAATATTTGAATATCATCCTGCTATAAACGAGCCAGGATTTCCCAGTCAGGCCATGCATCAGTATCTCCTGTCAGCAGAGTGGGGGAAGCTCTTCAAGAGTGGACGCTGGCTGTAGCCCAGCCCACCGAGTCCAGAGAGCCAGGGCATCCGTGCTGGAACAAGCCTTCCCTTTTTCAGGGGTTTTATTTGGGTTCCCTGGGAGCAGATGCTGTGATGAAGATTCAAGTGCAAAGAGTTCACTGGGGAGACGATTCTAGGAGACACAGGTCAGGGAATGAGGATACGAGAGAGGGGAGGGAATGAAGACATAAGTCAGCACCTGGGCAACAGGAGAATCCTCTTGGGGAACCACGGGAGTCCATGTGGAACAGGAGCCTCGGAGTTCCCCCTGGAAGGGGCAGGAAGGGAACTGGGCATCTGCCTCCCAGCTCTCATCTTTATCCATTCATCTTCCATTAGTCATTTACTGAGTGCTCCTATCAGGGAGCTCTGTTTGTCTAGTGGTAAGGAATTGCACTGCCAAGCCTAAGGCGTGTGGTTCGAATCCATCAGTTTCTCTGTGGGAGAAAGAGAAGCAGTCTCCTCCCATGTGATTTACTGTCTGAAAGCCCACTGGAGGGTCAGCTGTGAGTTGGTTCTGACTTGAAGGCACACATTAGCAACAGCTCTGCCAGTGGCTTTTACCTTGGCATATGGCCTGTCCTGTGAGCAGAGAGAGTAGACTCTGATGGCCGGACACCCTCAGGCGAGTCAGAGGGGCTGGCAGTCAGAAGTCAGGCTGGTGTGTGCAGGGTGGTACTTAGATGCCCAGAACGTTTGCTACAGAGAGCACCCTAACCGCTCCTGTCCCCCAGGCCCTGTGAGTATTTAAGGGTCCTTACACCAGAAAGAGCTGCAGGGATTCCATAGCTCTGAGATGCCAGCATATTCTCTGTGTTCTGAGGGCAAGACTCCGCGGGTGATTCCCATGAACAGAGGCTGGAGGTGGCCTGCAGGCTGAGGTCTCTGGAAGCCTCCCCGGGTGAAGATGAGCTTTACTCTCCAGAGAAGCAAGGGCTGGAAAATGCCAGAATGGAGCTGGGCGGGGGAGTGTGCTTCCCAGCTGGAAAATTGTGGGGCGTCTTGTCTTAAATATAATATTAAATCGGCACCTTTAATTAGTACACTTAGAAAAGGTCACTAGCAATTACCTGGGACACAAAGAAGGCGTGAGCAGGCAAAAGCGCGTGAGGAAGCCGAAAAGGACCATTTTGAGCAGCACATAATTGAGGGGAAAATGGATAAAAGTCCAGGAAATTACAGGGTGGGTGACAGCAGCTGATGGCCCCATCCTTGCCCTGCCCAGGGCCCCCCTGCTCAGGATGGCCTGTGCATTGGGCCTGAGAGAGCCATTTTGGGGTATTGACCGAGTTGTTCGACCTTGGCTGGAGGGCCGGTCTCCCTTCCCAGAATCCCTTTGGCCAGCTTGGAGCTTGGAAGGAGGTTGGCAGGGGAGACTTGCCTTTTGGGGGAACTTCACATAGCTGTGGACACATTGTCACATCACAACCAGCAAGGATCTTCAGTTTCCTCATGTAAAGTCTCCCTGAAACCCACTCTTTCTAAAAGTTTGCCACAAAAGGATCCAGGAGGGCAAAGGAGAGGGGAACTGTGTCCTGGAAGTCTAGGGGGAGGCTGGAAATAGCTGTCTTTTAAAAAAGAAATTTTACATTCTGCTCCTGTAGGGGAGCTCTGGTGGCTTAGCGGTAGGGAGTTGCCCTGCTAAACCCTGGCTCATGGTTTGAATCCACCAGCTGCTCCATGGGAGAAGGATGGACAACCTCCTGGTGCAGTTCATAGCCTCTGAAAACTCCAAGTTGATTCAGATTTGATGATACACAACCACCACAGCTCCTAATATATTCCTGTCCTGTTTCTGTTATGAAATAATTGTTTGTCATTAAGCAACATGGACACTTTGAGAAGATGTGGTTGGCTTATGTGGAGATACTGCGTGTATGTCCATCTTGAAGCGGCACTAAACTGTGAGTCTGGAACCTGAGTTCAACTCCTGACTTTGTTATTCGCATTTGACTGTGGGCACCTCGATTAAGTCTTGCCTCTTCTATATCAGAAGTGGAAGGATGGGCTTCCCTGAGTTCTCTGAGGGTTTCTATGATTTCACTCCCCCTCCGACTGGGGACTAGTGGATAAAGACCTGCACTGCCAACCCACAAGCAGCTGGTTGCAATCTTCCAACTGCTCCTTGGGAGAACAATGGGTGTCAATCTCCTTCCGTGCAATTCACTTCCTCTGAAAACCAGGGCAGGTCAGCGAGGAGTGCATTCCGACTTGACAGAAATACATTTGAGTTTGGTTTGAGTTTCCCCTCTCCCAATTACCACCTCCTCCCATTGTCTCAGATGCTGCTATATCCAACTCTACTATTCTGTTGTATGACTTTGGCAAAGCTGTTGTACCTCTCTGGCCCTTGACTTTCTGACAGTGCAAAGTACAAGGATTACAAGGCAGAGATACCTTGATTTAAGGAGAGAATACGTGTGAATGGGCCTGCCTTGGTATCTGGAGTGTCGTAAATGCTCCTCAGATGAGCAGCATCTTCCTTTCTACATGTTTGGCGTCCAGGTGGGGCCTGACAGGGTCCTGCTTATCGACGTCCTAAGTCCTGAGTCTACACATCAGATGTTGACATGGGTAAGACTCTGGAAACATGTGAGGGCTCCAGCCAGGAATACCCAAGTTCAAGCCCTCCTACCCTTTGTGTGGTCTTGGTGAAGTTAATCTCCCTGTGTTGTGTTGACTTTCATGGCATAGCGTGTAGAGAGTTGTGCTGCTAACCCCAAAGGCAGCGCTTCTCTGGCAGTTCGAATCCACCAGCTGCTTGGAGGAAGATGGACAGTCTTCTTCCTACAGTTTAGTCTTGGAATCCTAATGGGCGGTGGGGGGTGGGCGGTTTGAAGCAGTCAGCTATGAGTCAGAATAAACTCAGCGGCAAAAAGTTTGAGTTTGAATAGCAAGAACCAAATGTAATACTAGGGATGTCTGGTGGCCTAGGGATGAGAATCTGTGCAGCAGTCCCGAAGGCACGCAGATGGGCGATCTCCTCACGTGTGATTAACTGCCTCTGAGAACCCACTGGAGGGTCACCTATGGGTCGGTTCTGACCCAATGGAACACAACAATAACAACAACAAACCAAAGCAGCTGCCATCACGTCAATCCCAACACAGAGTGACCTCTAGGACTCAGTGGTCCCACAGGGTTTGCATGGCTGTAAGTCAGTCCGCCACTTCTGTCTCCCATGGGCCGGCTGGTTCAAACAGCCAGCCTTTCAGTGAGCAGCCAGCCACAGTCACCATCCTGCCACCAGGGTTCCTAAATGAGAGAACAGTAGAGATTAAATGAGAAATTGCTTAGCCTCCTTTCGGGCATGTGATTGAGCCTCAGAAATGGCACCTATCATTGTCATGTTAAAACAGAACTGTCCTTTTCAAGGTTCACTTGGAAAAATGCTCATGAGGTTCTTTTCCAGATAAAGGTCTCAGTTTGCAATCCTTGTATAACTTGATCTTAAAAACTGTTGGGTAAGTACGAGAGTCAGTATTTAGTGATAAGAGAGTGTCCATCCCGCTTACAAGGTAAACTAAAGTTTTAAAATTAAGTGATTGGCCCAAGGGCGTGATTTCTAATCTAATCTACACTTTGAGAAGCAGACGGAGTCCACAGACAAGTCCGTAAACTCACAGACAAGTCCACAGACCCACAGACAAGTCCACAGACCCTCGGCGCAGAAAATGACACAGTGAACACTCCTCACATTTTGCAAATGGTCCCTAGGGGCTCAGTGACTTCCTGAAGCTAAGGTGGTCAGCTGTCCTGGTCTGGATGACTTTTCTGGTTTTCACGCATGTCCCAGCAGAAGCCTCGGTCTTGGGCACTTGCTCACCCTACTTGAAGGCTACCTGGAGGGGCTGTGAACCTGAGGAGATGTGCTTGAGCCTTTTGGGCAGGGTTGCAGGCCAAGCCTCCTGGTGCCCAGAGGCCTCTGATCTGGACTTTGCAGCGTGACATGCACCACTTTATTCCTATTTTGAGGGTAGGCATATGATGATAATTTTCAGTTAAAGGTACATGCACTGTGACAAGTGACCCAGAGTGGAGAGTCTTGGTGACATACAATGGTTTCTGACCAGATAGAGGTTTGCGGGGTAACAGCACCCTGAGCAAGGTACTGAAGAATGGACCTGACCTTCCATTTCTGTCTACTGTTCTCTCCCTCTTATACTCCAGGCTCCTCTGTGACCCAGCTGCTGGCTCGAGACATGGACAATGACCCCCTGGTGTTTGGGGTGTCTGGGGAGGAGGCATCCCGCTTCTTTGCCGTAGAGCCTGACACAGGGGTGGTGTGGCTCCGGCAGCCACTGGATAGAGAGGTAAGGGGGACTTGCCTAGGCCCTTTGGGAAAGAATGGCTCACCATCATGTTAAGGCCCTGTCCCTGGACACCAGGCTGCCCCTGAAGTGATGTTTTGCTGTCTTGATGGGGCCCCTCTTCAGTGGCCAGTGCCTTGGACCTAGAATGGAGGAGGTTGGTTCAGTGTATCACCACTAAGCCTCACGATTCAGTTGATGACAAAGGGGCCAGTATCCCTGGACTCATCCCCTGTAGAACAGGCCTCTGTGAGGCATAGATATCTATCTCTACCAAACAAATGTCCCTCAAAGAGTATTTTCCAGAAAAGGGTGAGTAGCTAATAAAACCAAGTCTTTAACCAATAAAACCAAGTCTTTTGCCATCATGTCAAATCCAACTCATCACAGCCCAAGTATGTCAGAGGAGAACTATGCTCCATTCTATTTCAGTGGCTCCAAGTCTCCTCTGGGTGAACTTGAACCATCAGCCTTTTGATCAGCAGTCATTTGCATAATCATGTGTTCCCCCAGGGCACTAATGATACAGTAGACCTTAGAAAATGAAGATAAGTGTTTGAACAAAACCTCAATCCCACCCTCTTCTTATATTTGAAGAGGTGGCTTCAGAGATGTCTAGAGACTTGTTTAGGGTTGCACAGCAATTTTGATGTAGAGACAAGACTAGAACCCAAGATCGCTGACTTCATATTTATTGTTCTTTTTGCCTGCATCAGCTACGCAAAGGTCAATGTTTATTTTTTTTTTAGGAGAGTTTGTAGAGTTCTAAGCCCAGAAAAACCCCTGGGGTGATGCTGAGGCGCTCCTGTGCTCCTGTCCCATTTCGGGACCTCAGCAGCCCTCCCTAACTCTCTCTTTCATTCCTTTCAGACCAAGTCAGAATTCACTGTGGAGTTCTCTGTCAGCGACCACCAGGGGGTGAGTGTCCCCAAGGTTCCTGCTGCCAGGGGAGGCATGTTTGTGGGCTTGGCAGGGTCCCTGGACTGCTGGGAGTGCGGGGAGGCCAGAGGCTGATGCCAATACTAACTCTCTGTCCTGCTGTGCCAGGTGATCACACGGAAGGTGAACATCCAGGTCGGGGATGTGAATGACAACGCGCCTACATTTCACAACCAGCCCTACAGCGTCCGCATCCCTGAGGTAGGAGCCCAAGGGGGTACCCCACTCAGAAGGGTTCCCTGAGGATGCTGCTCCTCAGTCGTCTGGGGTTGAACTGAAGAGCTTGCTGGGACAGCATGCAGCTCTTGTTTTCCTGTTCGTGCCTCTGGACAAGCTGGGACACGTGCCAGCACCTCTGAGGACAGGGACTTGGTTGACAGTTTCAAAGAGTGGCTGGGCCAGGGGGTCACTGGACCCTCAAGCCCAAGATAGATCTGCTTTGGTTGAGCCCCAGGCGGAGTCGTGGATGGGACAGGAGTTGGGTGGGAAGGATTGTGCCCTCCCTTTTCCTCCATTCTTTGCCAAGTGTGGGCTGTGGCAGGATAGGCTGGCAGACATCATTACAGGCCTTTGCTTTGCCCAGAACCAGGTCCTCCAGGACACAGAGTGGCCCTGGTTCCAGGAGGTGGCTCTCCCCAGTCCCGCACTTCCCTGCCCACTGCTCCCCATCTCCTCGGCCTTGGCTCCTTTGGGTCGTCTGTGTACTCTGAGCATGTTTGCATGAGTGCATGCGTGTAAAATCAAGCCTTTCCTGGTAATTGAGAAGTACAAATTATTGCATTACAAACGGTTCGTTAATAAGCTGGCTACTGGCTCCCAGTGGCACCAGGGTTCTCGTCGCTGCTGTCCTTCTCCCAGGTGGCTGTTAGCAGCCTTCAGGGTTGGCTTATGTGAGTCACAGACCCTGCGGGGGTGGATGATGAGAGTCTGTTCAGGTTGGGTGTGAAGAATTGGATTGGGAACCGTGAGAGATGGAGGCCATCTAAGAGGCGAGTCCGCACGTGGCTTATGTGTTCTGGCTCCTTTAAGTTGCAAATCATTGGATAAGGGAACTAACAGAGCCTTCAGAGAGCATCCTTTTGAGTTTATAGAGTGAATACTTGAGTCTCAACATGGGAGAGTGACTTGCTCAAGGTCACACAGGCTTGACTTGGAGCCTCTTTACTCCAGGGCAGGTTCAGATTGTCTCGAGGATACAGACCTCGTCTTCTACTCAGCTGTGAACTGAGGGTCCTGTACCAAGTGGTGGGAGGTAGGGCAGATGTATGGGGGGTGGGGGCAGAGGTTGGCTCGCCTTTCCCCCTCCTGGAGCAGAGATGCAAGAGGGACGCCGCAGTCCTCAGTTTGGGGGCACTGTGCCCTGCATGGTGGCCAGTGTGCCCAGGGACTGCAGCTTGGCTCTGGGCTGCCTCTCATTTGGAAGTCTCCCTAATTTAATTAAGGGTCTCTACGTGCCAGCCTGCACTCTGGGCCCGGGCTCAGAAACCAAGGGCAGTGCTTGGAGTTAATGAGCCTTGGGCCCATTGCTCAGCTGCCATCCTGGCAGGCATGGCTGCCCTGTCTTCCATGCAGGGGGCAGCAGGGATGCCAAGGAGACAAGGGGTCACATTGCTCCTGTCCAGCCCTTAGGCCAGGGGCCAGCCTCTCCCTCTCCTACCAGGAGATGAAGCCTCCAACACCCAGGCGTTGGAATCCCCTGGGATTCTCCAAAGGTCCCTGTCTCCAAGGAGAGAGCCTCTTCAATCAGTCATTGATTTAACAAATATTTATTGAGTGTCTGCAGTGCACGTGGCTTCAGGCCAGGCTCTCACTTTGCAGAGACCTGGGCAGCTGTAGCAGTAGAGAGTGACAGGACCAGAACTCTAAGGCAGTGACTCCCAGCCTGAATCTCCTGCTCTGCTCCTAAATTGCTCAATCCATCCGGGTAGGTCACTTCACCACTCTGGGCCATAATCCTTATCTCATAAAAGAAAATGAAGTGTAGGTGAGATAAAGTGACCTGCCCCCTGCCCATCTGATCAGGAGAGAGTGGAGAGCAAGGGCTGGTGCAGAGGACACACTGTCCTTGGAAGAAGGCCCGTGTGATTTACTTGTTCACGTGTAAACAACTGTGGTCACTTCAGTGGCCTGACACTTGATGCCCGACTCAGGTCGCTCAGCATGGCCAGAAGGGATGTGATATCAGCTGGCCAGGGGTCAGGCTACTCTGGACCCACAGTGGCTTGGTAATGTCTCTCCCTAGGCAATGGTCACCTGGCTGGAACTTAGCTGGTTGGCTTAATAAAGAGCCTGCCGGCCCCCCGCCTGGATTTGAGCCTCGAAGTCTCTAACTAGCTTTTATGACCACCCTGAAAACTCCAGGTCCCATCCTTGAGAAGTGTGATTTCTTAGTTAAGGTGTGAACAGGGTGGAAATGCAAACCAGAGAAATGGAGTGTTGTGGTTCGTGGGGTATGTGAGTGCAGAAAGACCCAAGAAATCCCAGCATCCTGCTTGGAAGAGGTGGGTTTCTAACCGGCTCTTGTCAGAGTGAAAAGTAGATGCTATGTATTGGTTTGTGGGAAGAGATAGGTGACGATCACATACCTGAGTGCTAACACCTGAATAAATGAAACTCTAACCCTCTCACTGCCTGGGCCCCTTCAAGGACTGGCATCTATGATGTAAGAATTAAAGTGGTGGAAGTAGCCCCTTCTGGTCATTAGTATGCTGTCTGTTGTTCCTCGAAGGCTGGTGGGGTGCTGGGGTGGCCACCTCCTTCCACTCAGCTCCTCTTCTCATCATCCTCAGCACTTACTCCTGTCCTCTACCCTTTACCTTCTTCCCTCCACTTCCCAGTCCTGTTGTTGTATGTACCATCAAGTCAGCCCTTCAATGGGTTTTTGGAGGCAGTAAATCGCACTGGGGGAGATCTCCCATCTTTCTCTCGTGGAGCTGCTTGAGTATTTGAACTGCATGCCTTTGGGTTGGTGGTACAGCTACCTTGCCACTAGACCACCAGAGCTCCCTAAGAACTCTTAAAATATGTGGGTGTGCTGAGCCCAGAATCTGGGGTGAGAAGTTATCGGGAAGTAAAATCCAGGTCTGCATAAAGAAGAACTTTTGAACAGTGAGATCGACCCCCTCAACTCTTCTCAGTCCACAGAGGTTCTACTGAGCTCCCCATCCCTGGAGTTATGCAAGCTGAACCCAGCTTCTTGTCTTAGAAGCCATGCAGCACTGAGTGTCAGGGAAGGAGGACTCTGGGGGCCCTAAACAGGCCTCGTCGGAAGTTCCTGGGGGAAGCTGGTCAGAATGCACATTCCCCGGCCTCTGCAGCCATTCTGATTCAGTGTAGAGGGAAGAGACTCGGGACACCGCCTTGTAAACACATTTCCTCTGTGACTTGCTTTGGGAAGGTCTAGAGCCCGTGTTCTGTGGTCCTCGGAGTTGGAGGGTTCTGGGTGGTGCTAGAAGGCAGCTTTACTTGGAGAAAAACTTGCTACTGGAGATGTGATTCCCCCAGCCCAGGACAGCAGGGCAGGGAGCACCTTCCAGGGCACACAGGGTCCCTTTAGGATGATCTCCTGCCTGCGCCCTCCGCCCTCTCTCTCTGAAGGCCTTGGCATGACCTGCCCCTGCTCGGGAAGATCCAGGCAGGTGCATGTTTGGGTTTGTTTGTTCTCCTTCGCCTCCCGCCCACCCCCTCCCCTGTTCTACATGTAATTATCCATTTTATCGGGGTGAAAGGCCCTGCAATTCACTTGTCGAAGCCCTAACGAGGCAGCGTGGATGCTTTCAAGTCCGTAAAGAAAAGGGAAATCCTGCTAGAATTGGCAACTTAATTCACCAAGCCAGCCTCGACAGACCTCATTAAGTCCCCGTGTATTCATTTCAGGCTAATGGCTGTCACGCTGACTGCTGTTTGATTTGCTGTAATAGACTTTTATGGCGTTCCAATTTGCTCAAACGTGTTTGCCTGTGTCTGTGCCCAGCAGTGCCGCTCCAGCACGTCCAAGAGCGCCGCGTGCCTGCCTCGATGACCTTCACTGTGGCCCCTGCCCAGCCCGCCCCTCCAGCCCCCAGACCACCCCCACTTTGACCCTCCAGGTGGCCCTGAGGAGGGACCCCTGGACTCCAGTGGCGGAGAGGGTGGGTGGACCTGAGGGTAGGAGTCAGATGGTACCAGGCAGCTTGTTACCCTTTGGAGTCTCAGGGACATCGGTGTCCTTGAACATCTAATGGTGGGTCCAGCATCCTTAGTGGGCACTCAAGGCTCTTACTTATCTCTCCTGATCCTTGTTCTCCAGTGGATCTCTTGCTATTTCTCAGCACGTGAATCCTCCCTGTCATCCTGAAGGACCAGCTCTTTGCCTCTGAATGTGCCTGTGTCTCCCGCTTTCCCACCTTCATCTACATCCTCCAACATCTACACGTCATACCTTTCTAACTGCTCCTGGAATCCCTTCCACCTTCCCTCAGCCTCACTCACCCTTCTCTGTCTTTCAGGTCTGCTCTGACCCACTGTGTTGTGATCCACTAATTTTTCCCCCCAATGAACACAGCAAACATTTGTTGGACCACTAGTTACAAGCTGACTAGGTTTCCACAGCTGCTGGCTGCCTCGGTCAGTGACTTAGCTTATCTGGACCTCAGTCTTATTATCTGTAAGATGGGCAATATTGTATATCTGTTGTAAGAACCATAAGAATGCAGGTAAAAGCCCTCTGCTGTTTGTGGCTCAGTATATTCAGTTAGTGGTGGTGATTAAGACCAGGGTCTTTGCTTTCAGGAGAAGAATTTTACTGAAAGACACACGCATGTTAGATTACATCCAAATGTATTAAATACTCTATACCATGGTCTCTTAGTCTGTGCAGAGGCAGGGGCTATGCTGTCATCGGTTCTGTATAGGGCGGCTATTTGTTTGGGACCTCCTAGAATGTATAAATGTTTGTTATGTGGAGAAAAAGGTTATGAGGTCTTTGAAAGCATTACTTATTTTAGAGATTCTCTGGTCTTTTTTCATGTGTTGGAATTTCTCAAAGTGCTCAGACTAATCCCTGCCAGTGGTCCTGGAGAGGAGAGACAGTGGCTGTGTGGGTCTGCATGTCTCTTGCAGGCTCCCCACTGGTACCTCATGGAAACAACACCAAGTTGGAAGTGGGCCCTTTGGGTTCCTGCCCAGGTCTCTGTGCCAGATAGGCCCTGCTAGATCCTTGT